CTAGGTAGGTAGCCACTAGGTGAGGTTTATATACCTAGGATAGCACATGTAAGCACTAACCTACAAGAACAGCTGCACAGATATTTGGTATCTACGAATGTACTAATCTCTCTTTTATAATCCGAAAAGGCTGAACATCGTGGGTATGATCCCACCACATCTCATTCATGGATATGTTCAAGTTCAACTCCAGCTCAAAATTGTACTTTTGCCATAATAATGAAAAAAATGCCATAAAGCAAAGCAAATATAATAAAGCAATTCATGGTCTGCCTAATTACTAAACATATGCTGCCCATTTTCTAGTTAGATCAGCTCCATACCATTTTACAAGTAAACATGTCTCACAAGGAAATCTATTACTCTAATACCATGGCCTTATAAAGTCTGAAAACTACTATGAGCTCTGACATTTCTCATGCATATAATACTAGACTTCAAAATCACATATAGTTATCTTGTATGCTGGTATGCAGCCCAAAAGGCCAGCACTGTGAAAGGTGGTCCACTTAATCCATATAGAAACCAGTCTAATCACTTTCTTTAAGACTAGGACGAGACCATAATTTAACAGAGGTGACATGTTGCCGAATTTTTTATTTTTTAGCCCTTTTTTTGAAAATTTTTCACAAATATGCCCCTGGAGGTAAGATTTCAAAATCTGGACTCTTAGCTCGGTGCCATCGTTGCTGGCGCCGGGCTTACACGTGCTGGCGCCGAGCTCTTGAGCTCGAAGCAGACGTGGCGGTGATTTGGCAGGCACCTCGCCGCCAGTAACCCTGGCGCCGAGCTCGGCGCCGTAGATCTTGGCGCTAGGGTTAGTGGCGCCAAGCATGTCTTACGTATGGGCCCCAATCCTTTCTCTCTTCCTCTCCCTCTCTCTCTCTTCCTCCTCGCCTCGCCTGAGCAGCTGCAGACCGCAGCCGCCGCCTGCCGCTTGCCGCTGGCCTCCACCCCCACCACATGTCCACACCGCCCAGGGTCCCGCGCGTCCTCGCCTCGCCAGGCAAGACCCGCCAGGCGTGCCGCACCGTGCCCGGCCTTGTCCGCCGTGCCGCCCGCCACCGCCAGCCTCAAATCAAAGTTTTCAAGGTCCAATATGCCGATTCGTGAGGTAGGGCGAAGTGGGGAGAGAAAAAACCCGAGAGGGAGGAGAAAGAAGAGGAAGAAGGCTCGGACAGGGAGGTTGGGGCCGGGGTTAAAACACCATCTCGGCGCCATAGATCATGGCGCCGAGCTCGGCGCCAAGATCTACGGCGCCAGGATCTACGGAGCCAAGCTTGGCGCTAGGATATATGACGCCGAGCTGCCTGCCAAATCACCGCCACGTCTGCGTTGAGCCCAAGACCTCGGCGCCAGCAACGATGGCGCCGAGCTAAGGGTCCATATTTTGAAATCTTACCTCCAGGGGCATATTTGTGAATTTTTTTCAAAAAAAGGGCTAAAAAATAAAAAATCCGGTGACATGTTGCCTACTCACTTACTCTAGCACCGATTCTGCAACCAGCCATAACCAGAGGTATCCCAAATGGAAGCATCTGAAAGTATCTTTCCTCAAACCAGAACATAAATAACATGTGAGCATTAATGGCAGCTGCTTGACATGTTAGTGTAATGACTAAAATAGCCTAATGGCCTTTCAAGTTATGAGAACACAGCTAAGTTATGAGAACACAGCTCCTCTGCCGGTGTGCAAATCGTGGCTGGCATGGCCATACACAAAAAGGGGCCGCTCCTCCAAACCGCATGAGCTCCTCTGTTTGGTGCAGCTCCTCCTGCTCAGGAGCTGCAAATGCGTGGCTGGAGCGGCTCCGCTCTCACAAAAGAAGGCTCCGTCGCTGTTTGGTGCAGCTCCAAACGCTCAAGTGCTGGAGCTGCCGGGCAGAGCTGGAGCGCCACCAAACAGGCTCGCTCCAAACGTTTGGTGCAGCTCTGTTTGGTGCAGCTCCTCCTGCTCAAGTGCTGGAGCTGCCGGCAGAGCTGGAGCGCCACCAAACAGGCTCTAAATTCACAAGAGCTGCAGATGAGTCGAGTAGGCTCACATGAACCACTGGTTGGCCTTTGAGCTTAGGGCTGGGAACAAGCTTGGCTCGGCCAAAGCTCATGGAGGCTCAAGCTTGTTTGAAGGAAGCTCGAGAACTGAATTTCAATATAAATTCTTCTATGAAAGCTCGCCAAAGCTCAAGCTCAGCTCATGAAAACTGAGCAACTATATTTTAACATAGTGCGTTGTATGCAAGCTTGGACAAAGATTTAGCAGAATGATCTCATTCTCAGCTCAAAATTTTGGGATGGATACATCATGTCTTTGGGAAACTAAGGACTGAGTCAAGCCTTAACCACACTAATCGAGTTCAATATAATGAGGCCCATGAGCTGGGCGTGAGCTCGGCTTATGAAGAGTTTGAACTGAGCTCATTGAGATGTTTTGACAGAACTGTATATGAACTAAACAGGCACTACACTTCTATGAGTATGGCATAGATTAAATCAACAAGTCATCTTTTCAAGCCCTTCTCCAGAACTGAAAGCCTGAAACTACCACACCATTGGTCTCGGCCCTGACAGATAACAATACATGGTGTGCCTTCAGATTTTTCAAACGTGACAGTAATCAGAAAGGATTGTGTATTATTGCTAACCTCAATATTGGCTCTCACTATGATTACAGGAACTAACAGTTTTCAATTTTTCACCCATGAACTTGACAATGGCCCAGCACTTCTCCAATTTCTACTGCCAAACCATGTTCCTCTAAAGCACAGGGCGTGCAGCATTTTCCGGCCATGGCTCAGCTTCTTCGCTGCACCTCCCTCCACTCCCACTCAACCTCCGCCCACCACTCCTTCCGTGTCCCTCAGCTCTCCTGAGAATAGATCCCCTCCACGGTGGTGGCAGGAGCTGAGCAGCCTCTAGACTGCTGCAGCCCTCATCGGCCCCAAGCTCTGCCTCCATGGCCAGGGGCGAAGAAGGGGAGGCAGCGGTCACGGAAGCGTGGTCGGCCGTGCAGGAGAGGGCATGAGGTAGGCATTGATTTGGCCTGGCAGCGGTGCACAGGGAGATTGGGTCAGAGAGGATCGGTGGCAGACGGTAAGAAAAGAGAAACCAGGCTTGGATGCTGCCCCTGCTGCTCTGGCAAGTCGGTGGAGAGGATGGCACCTTCACTCCTCTGGTACAGGCTATGACATGTGGGTCCCAAAGGAGGGCACCCATGAAAAAGCCATAGAAAAGCCAGGTCGCCAAACACATAGGTTTCATCTCCACTTCTCCACAAGCTGCTTCTCTAGGCAGCTGGCAAAAGCTGCTTAAGAAAAAAGCTTAGGCCATATCAATATCTCAGTCATGCAGTTATCACACTGGCACAAACATGTTAGACTGCACATCACATTTTAGATGTGAGTATGCTTGCACATTCACACCCGATGGAAATGTATATAACTTTATACTTTAGGCACAAACATTCTGAGTCATAGGAAGATATTATGTTAAAATTCAACAGTGTAACATTATGGTTCAAATTTGGTCTTCCTATTTACTCTATATATGGCCAGTTATTTGGAGTTTGGACCTCTTGAAAATGAATGCAACCTACTGTTTTTTTTTTCAAATGATGTGTCAACTACTAGGTACAACTTAAACATATATTTGCAGTAGCAAACAGCAGACCATGGGAGCACTAAGAATATTAGACAAAAGAGCAGATAAACTGCGTTTCCTGTTCTTGACAAGTTAATCATAAGGAAAGTGTGTGCTCCACAGTATTATCAATAGGCAATGCAACTTTTCTTTTGATTCTTAAGGGTCAAGATTAGAAGTACCTTAATAGCAAATGCCAAAACTTTGCGTCTTAATCAGGGCCATATTTCAATATTTGTACAGCAGCAACCTGATCTTTCACAGTACCTGAAATGAATTACAGATACAACCATCAAAAGAATATTCCAGGCACTGGAAGTTCAAGGCCCAAATGAAACCATGGTATCGACACGCGCCTATATCCCTAGACAAAAAGAGCACAAGTTTTTCTTTAACTTGAGAGGTGTTGTTTGACAGCTGATATAAGTTTTTACAAAAGGTCAAGTAGAACTAAATTAACTTGATAGAATTTAACAAAGTGTGGTCCAAAGTCAAATTTTGATATTTTAACAAGATGAAAGGGTGCTCTCAAAACAATTTAGACATTCAGCTAATGCAAGACCATAGGACATTTAGGATGCAAGCACCTATTATAAAATAATTCAAGTTGCAAGAAAAAATTTGTATTTCAAAGAGCCTCAGCTAACTAACAGACTATGCTAATCCAAACTTCTTATATAAGTAATCCAAGGACAGCAACCATTTCCTTGTATCAACAATAGCAGTTTATTTGCTGGAAGTCAGAGTTCACCAGTAATAATCACGAAAAAAACACTAGGATTAAGATGCAATAATTTTTTTTGAGGGAAATTAAAATGCAATAATTTGACGCAGTCTGAATAACAAAAAGCTAAAGGAAAGACTAAGTGGGAAGAAGCACTCACAAGAAATCATTTCATCAGCAATGGCAACAGTGAATGATCTCACCAAAAATCAAAGCATCCTCCCAGCTCCGAGTCTGACAATGTGAACACTAAGCTAATAGAAGTGTCTCAACTCAGTCCAGATGTCCCCCACCTATGAGGTTGGGTTTCGTATGTGCGTCAGTGTGTGTGTGTTTGGTATGGCTGTGTTGGTGTGGTGGTCTTTTGGGTTTTGTACATTGGTGTTCTTCTCAATCCAATGGTACACAGCTCCCCTGCATATTTGAGAAAAAAGTTTCCAATGTATAAACTCAGCCTGTTGACCAGCAAGTCCATATGATATGATGAACTTCCACCGTATGCATTGAGCATGATATCTCATTTTCTGTTTATTTCATAACCGTCATGAGGTCTCTTTTCTTCATTCACAGCCTCGTCAAGTTTTCAGTGGGGGCTAGTAACATGATACAAGATAAATACACCATTCTGGTCGACACTGCTTCACGGCAGAACTAGGGTACGGCCTGCTATTTTGGTTATTCTCTTTCCAGTCATCTCAGTTCTAACTTCAGAAGCATCTCCCCACCTATCAATGTTAGCATACATATTTGACAGGGAGACATAATTTCCAGCATTGTCCGGTTCAATTTCAAAAAGTTTCTTTGCTGCAATTTTTCCAAGCTCAATATTACAGTGAAGCTTGCATCCACCCAACAGTGCACCCCATGCTCCAGGATGAGGTTTCCCGGGCATCGACATGATAAGCTGATATGCATCTTCTAGCATACCATAACGTCCAAGAAGACTGACAAGGCAACCATAGTGCTCACCAGATGGCACGATCAAGTATACATTCTTCATCATATCAAAGAACTTCTTCGCTTCTTCTACTAGGCCAGCATGACTGCAAGCTGTTAAAACAACTGTAAACACAGCATTATCGGGGGAGTGGCCCTCCAAAAGCATCTGAGAGAAAAGTTCAACAGCCTTATTAGCTGAACCATGGAGGCAGTGACCTTGCATCAGTGAACAATATGAAAACACATCTCGAACTGGCATAGACTCAAACAAAACAGTAGCCCTCTCCAAGTTCCCACACTTTGCATTCATGTTCACAAGACCAGCCAACACATGAGCATTGTTCATATCTATAGAGTACTTTGTGATGTAATCTTCAATCCACCTTGCCAACCTGATGTTACCTAGTTGGGAGCATGCAGACATCAGGCCAACAACAACAAGTTCGTCTGGGTGTATGCCTTGCCCTTGGAACTCATCAAAAGTTCTCAAAGCCTCCCCAGGGTAACCATTCTGTGCATAACCTGATATCATCGCTGACCATGAGAACAGATCACGGTCCTCTAACTTATCAAACAACAACCTCGCAACTTCCATGTTCCCTGCCTTTGCATACCCGCCAATCAAAGATGTACATGCTGTGGCAGTTCTCTCAGGCATTTCATCAAACAGCCTCCTTGCGCCCTCCAAGTCCCCACACTTAACGTAACCATCAACCATCACATTCCAGTGCACGGCGTTCCGGTGAGGCATTCTATCAAACAGCTCTCTGGCTGTCATGATGTCACCATTGTTGACATAGGCAACGATAATGGTGGTCCAGGAAACCTCACTGGGGATGTCGATTTGATCAAATAGCGCCCGGGCCGCGCCAGCCACGCCGCACCTGCCGTAGAGCTGGATGAGCGCAGTGCGGATGAAGAGGTCGGCGTGCACGCCGAGGCGGATAGCGGCGGCATGCAGGGCTCGTCCAGCGGGGAGGCAGGATACGCGGGCGCACGCCCGGAGGAGGCAGGGGAACGAGAAGGAGTCCGGGAGCGCGGCATGTCGAAGGAGGTTGAACTCCGTGAGCGCGGCGTGGAGCGGGGCGTGGCGGGCGAGCGACGCGAGCACGGCGTTGCGGAGGCGGAGCGGGGCGGCGTGGGAGTCGGGAAGCGCGGCGATGAACGAGGCGGCGACGGAGGGGCACTCGAGGGCATCGCAGGCGGCGGCGAAGCGGGCGAGGAGGGCGTGGTGGTTGTGGAGGCCGAGGCGGATGATGCGGGCGTGGAGCTGGGCGAGGCAGCGCGCGGTGCGGCAGCGGCCGAGGAGAGTGGCGACCGCGGGGGACGGCCGGCTGGCGGCGGCCGCAACGGAGGGGGATGGGGACGCGAGGGCATTGCAGGTGGCGGCGAAGCGGGGTAGGAGGGATTGGTGGTTGTGGAGGCCGAGGCTGACGATGCGGGCGATGCAGCGGGAAGTGCGGCAGCGGCCGAAGAGGGTGGCGACCGGAGGGGATGGCCGGGCGACGGCGGATGTCATGCGGCTGCGGCGGCGAGTCGGGAGGCGGGCTGTGGCATTTCCGTTTGTCTTGCCTCTCGGCCTTTTGAAATGGATGGCTAGTTTTGGACTTCGGGGCACTTTGGGCCGACTCGTGCCTGACAAATCCCAATCACACAACAATTTCATTTCCTTCCACTAAAAAAAACAATTTCATTTCCTTCAACAGAAACGAAGGTCAAGAATACACGAAAGAAATTTACGGGTTTTTTTTATCCATGGAACAAAACATTCCCTCGCTTTCTTACGTGAAGTTGTTTATTTATTACCACCTGTCTCAAATTTTTGGCCGTTTTAACTTTTCTATGTACATAGCCTTTGATATGCACCCAGATATACGATATGTCTATATACATAATAAAAAGTTATATATAGGGTGTAATCGGCTTATCGTCCAATCGGACTGTATGGAGGTTTTCGGCAAATTCAACAGCTGCATTGTATGTTGAATGTAACATCACATGGAACGGACATATCAATTGAGCATTTGCAGTAGTGATGCAAATTAGGTGGCACATGAATTGAATTGACATGGAGAGCAACGCACTCTAAGTAAAATTGTACTTGGAACGATGAGTCCCTAGATTTATTCTTGCTTTTCTGATAAACGATTTAACTATCCTCGATGAATAAAGTCTGCCATACTGATTCATAAGAAAGTTGTTTAATTACCAACTTATATATCAAATTATAGGTCATTTTGACTTTTTAACGTATATATCTTTTGCTATGTACCTAGATATACAATATATCTACATACAGAACAAAAATTGTGTATATAAAAAGCCAAAACGACTTGTAAATCAGAACAGTGGGAGTATTACTCTGTCGGTCTACAAAAGAGTGCAATTTATATCACAGAAAAATCCGATTTACTCAAACTGTTTGAGTAAGTCATTTTTTTTTGTTTGATTAAGTTTATAGAAAAATCAAATGCTTGGTTAGAAATTATGGACAATCCACAAGTAGATGCTATCGGATGATGTGGCCTCTCTATTAACATGTCATCGTAAGCTATGGTCTTCGGGTTTGTACACGCTTTTTAGAGCTCTTTTTGATCATTTTCTTGTCACGTTTGTGTTGCAAAAATGAAAGGGTTCTTCGTTGCTTACTCGTGTTACTAACATCTGTCGAAAATATGTGCCACGTTTAATTTTCCACGAATCTTTTATGCACATCTTTGGCAACTAAAGCCTAGAGTGTGTTTCTAAAAATCCTTCAAATTCATGAATTTTTGCAAGTATCTTTCAGTACAAATTGCACATATAGTATGTTACATGTTTCCAAATTAAACTACATAATTTTAACTTTATATTGATGCTTGTAGTTTTAATGTTTGACCAAATCTTGCCCTAAACAAACACGTTTTTGTGCCCAGAGCGAGGGAGTATCTGAGAAGGCTAGCTAGATTCGTCAAATTAAACCAGAGCGCGCGGGGGCAGCATAGATTTACATTGAGCTCAAAAGTAGCATATCACACATTGAACCAAATCAGAACCCTATTTATACAGCAAAGGTTCGATTGCGGCACGCACGCACGCGACGCAGCATCAGAGAGATGGATCATATCGGAGCTTGACCGCTTCACTTCTCGAAGTAGTCCTCGGTCCTGCCCTTGAATCCGATCTGGCCGAAGGTGAGCACGATGAAGAGACCCAGGTGCCACGTCACTAGCCACAGCCTGCAACGCACAAGTTCGTGTTCGTCGTAGTCGCATCGATCAATTCAAATGCTGCCGCTAGCTACCAGTACACAACAAGCTAGCGTGCATAAAGACGGAATAACAGCAGCAAAGGCTGTGCCGGTTCGATCTGGAGGTCGTCTCACCAGAACTGGGAGGTGACGGGCGGCGGCGTGGGGAAGTGGGCCAGCTCCTCGCCGATGCTGGAGAAGAAGAGCCCCGTGAGGCTGTTGCCGTTGATGGCCGGGACGCTGGACGGGCCGATCCAGCCGATGAGCCCATAGCCGATGATGCTCAGGTCCCTCCGCAGCCAGTCCCGGGGAAACCTGCAGGCGAGCATGTACAGGCCGGATCGATCGGAGGAACCAATGAAACCGCCGCGATCAGCAACTACTGTATTTCACAGAGAGAGACAGCTCGTAATAAGTTTGAGTTACTCACGTCATGCAGGTGATCCTGCCGTTCCTCTCCAGGCTCCTCGTCATCAGCGGGTTCCTCGCCGACACCCGGCTGCCCCTCGTGAAGCCTGCAACGCAAGGACGACGACCAAGTGAGCATTTCGTCAGTGGTGCAGCTGCAAGAAGGTGCATTCTGCAGACGATGGGATGGGAACAAGGAACGTTACGTACTGGTGGAGAAAGCCGGCCGGGTGGCCAGGGAGGCGCCGGCGAGGCCGGAGACGGTGGAGGCGGCCATGTCTGTCGGTCGGTTGAGCCTGTCAGCTGCGGCAATGAATTTGTGGCTGCGCTGCACGGCGGGCGCCCCTGGTTTTGTGGTGCGGAGGCGCGGCGCGGACAGGGACGCCGGACGCGCGGTGGTGTGGACGTGTGGACTCGAGCGAGCGAGAGAGGACGGGATGAGACGCCGCGGATTGTGTTGTGGGGGCGCGCCTGGTGTGGATCACTTGCAGCGGATGAATAGATTCGTCGCCGGCCAAGCCGCCTATGGGAGCGCTACACTTGGATATGTCTGGATAAGATATTCTACTACTAGTCGGGCCGTGTAGAGAACGCACTCACGGTCGGTCCGGCAGATGCGACGAGGGCCGGAGGATATCTGAGAAGTCACTAGTTGGGGCTGTTGCACTGAAGGAAGTGCTCGCTCAAAGCAATAAGACCCCAAGCTCCTGATTGTCTGGATCAGAGATGCAACTTTTTCTGTTGATTCTGTGCTAGGGCAACATGTGTGCACCGATATTATTGGCTTTGCTTCATAGTCATGTCATCGGCCGTACCAAATGGATTATCCAGTCCTCGGACTCTTCATTGGCTCAATGGCTAAAGGTCCTCTGGCCTTAAAAAAAACCTGGTTAGATGGTTCGGACGGCTCCTCTCAAGTCCTGAGTTCTTCGTGGGACGAATTTTAAGTTTGAGGATAAAAAAATCCCCTCGTTTGTCCCACAACAAAATACAGGTCTGTGGCCGTCCCGTTTCACGAGGATACAGGTACCGTTGTATATGGGTGGAGCCAGGGTTCGAGGATTTTCTTAAGCTATATGAGAAGTTCATCTTCTTAATAAAACACCATGGGAACGTCTCTCCCCCCGTGGCTTGAGTTTTTTTTTCATTGGCTCAAGTAATTTCCATTATTGTTGGTCAACTACAGAATAATATATGCATCAAGCCCTAAAATACTGATGTGGTTAACAACTACTCCCTTCGTCCTAAAAATGTCACTTATTCCGAACGGAAGGAGTACACGCCACATGCGGGGATGCAACTGTAGGCATGTGACACTGATTCATGCCACTCATTTATGTATAATAATCCAACTTACAAGACAACTGTATAAAGTATTAAGGAGGGATAGTTAGAAAGAAAAATTATAGCTCTCTCATATGTTAGACGATTATGTATAGACACGTAGTATGAATCCATGGTGAGTGGGAACAATCTCTCTACCCATTTTTTTTCGAGGAAAGCTCTGACTTTATCGATCAATTGAATAAGAGTTAAACCACACATGTCTACCTAGCAACTAAATGAGCGTCGACATTTGCTATTGGGAGTGGGACAACTGGTCGTGGGCCTTGGTCATGTACTTAGGCTGTTAAGAACTTCAGTTTGTTGGGTTCGGGACTCTGCTTGTGTAGGCCTGATTCACCTGACGGCCTTGGCTAAGCAATGCTTGCTTGCTTGCAAGTGACGGGCACCACTGGGTTGGGCTGTTGGGCTGCAATTTTTATGTGAAAAAAAGTTTATTTTATCTTAAATTATCGCCTGAATTTTCTCATTGAACCGTAAAATCAAACATCTTCACCTCTAAACTCTTAAAACCATTTTAACTACCTTCCTGCCTTGGATTGAAGTGGTTTTAAAGGTGGCATCGTCTTGTTTTAAGTTAATAAACATCCGACAAAAAATCTAAAAATATTTTTAAACCACAAAAACATCTCTGAGTTTTTAAATATTATGAGAAAAATCCTAGAGATGGATTGGGATATGAACACAAATAAACTATTTAGAGCATGTGAAAATATCTCTAAAATCTCAAAAAAACTAGATTTAGCTCTACAAAAATGGTATAAACATAAAAAATATCTAGTAAACTCCAAGAGCATTTTATGTTTAAATTTATTTTAAAAACTTTCTACGACAAAATTATTAGACACAACCAACATGTCTGCAAGTTGAGTGCATTCATGCTACGCAATCATGTTGGTCGCGTATTATGTTTTGTTGTGAAATACTTTCAAAACATGTTTATACATCAATAAAATATTTATAATTTTTCTTGATACTTTCTCATTTTCCTGTATCTAAATAAATTTTAAAAGTGTCTACAAATATTTTAATTAGCTCTAAATATTTTATTTGAATTATTCGTATCCCAATCTATATCTATGACTTTTAGACTTTTAAAAGATTATATACATTTTCTATGGTTTAAAAATTGTATTAAGTATTTACAATATTTTTTAATTAAAAATATGAATCTGGCTTCAAAACCACTTGAAATCAGGGCATACGAATCTAGCTTCAAAACCACTTCAAATTAGGGCAAAGAGATAATTTGAATGGTTTTGAGAGTTTATAGGGTAAGATGTCTAATTTTGAAGTACAATGAGGAAAATCATATCGCAATGATAGTTTAGCGGATCGTGGAGGACTCAATGCGATCAGAGTACATGGGAATCTATCGAGCTTTTTTTTATAGAAAAGTCTGATTCAGCCCCTGAACTAGTCACTGAATTTAAAAGAACCTCTTGAACTTCGATAGTGGATAACATACACATCTTTAGTTTTAAAATTAGAATAAAAACACCCTGACCATTTCAAAGTGGTTTCTTGGGTGATTTTGT